AAGCCCACACACAGAGGAGTGCGGAGGCGGGGAGGTCCCGCGGCAGGAGCGCTGCCTGCCTGGTGCGTGCTCCCCAGCTAACGGCAGCAATTAGAGGATCATTGAGTGCCCGAATCCAATCTGGCCATTGATTTTCCCAGGCGCATTCATCCGGCTGCCAGCAAGCAAGGAAAAGGCAGCGAGCAGGGGGGCCGGGGAGAGAGAACTGAGCATTGCCCCCACCGGCAAACGCAGCCCAAAGCAGGTCCCAGCTGGGCCGCAGCAGTGCCCGGCTACTGACCCGGGACCCCAGGAGGGGCAGGGCTAGGATCCTGCCAGGCTGCACGGGCTGTCTCCTGCACCTCCGCAGTCGCAATCCCCATCCCTGGCCCAGCCAGTGCCCGAGAGCAAAACCCAGGGGGCTGCCCAAAACCCTGCCAGCCCCAGCACCGAGTTCAGCCGCACGCTCCTGCGGGTCTCTTGGCACGCAGCCCACGGGACGCCAGCTCCTGTTCCCACCCCCACGGGCCTGCTCTTCGAGGACACGGGGAATCCCATTACGTGAGACACCTGAGGCAGGATAAGACAAGAGGGTCCCTTAACCCGACGCCTGGGTGAATGAACAAGATCCTCCAATTGCTGCAGCTGTCTGGGCTGGGGCTTCCAGGCTGGCGGGGGTATATTGGGGGTATATCTGCTCCCGCTTACACGCTGCTTGGGGCTGGACTTGCTGCATAAATGCCCCCGAGGGGCTCCTGAAGGGCAGGCCAGGATGGGCTTTGGGCCAGCCATCAGCCCACCGCTTCCTACTGCGCTCACTTAGCAAGCACGGGAGCCGCTGATGAGGGCAGGGAGTCAAGGCCGAATGCAGCCTCTTCCCGTCAGAGCCCAGGCAGTGGTGGGGAGAGGTGTACGCCACCAGGTGCCATTTGCCTGTCACCCTCTCGAGTGCCTTTCATTAGACCGGGCTGTGACGCTGCCTCTCGGGAGCCAGGCGGGGGGTTCCCGGGGCCACGTGTGCACCGGGTGCAGGTGCAATTCCCCCGGGGCACTGCCAAAGACTGTCACCCACTGCTCGCTCCAAGCCATAGCACCCACTTGCCCCGAGGCGGTCCCACTGACAAGCATCTGATATTGAGGGGCAAGGGACGAGCTCCTCGTGCTCCTACGACCACCCAAATGGCTCGGGTACGGGCAGGCCGACAGTGCTTCCAGGGGCAGGGGTCTCTGCAAACATGATCCCAGGAAGGAAGAAGCCAAAGCTAAAGGCCTAGAAAGGGGCAGAGGATGAAGAGAAACCCCTGGGTCTATCACAGTCCCAGGACAGCCCTAACTCCAGGGCAGCAGAGCTCATCAACGTGGCTCAGCCCACCCCATTCAACTGGGTGCTGACAGGATAAAGCCCCGCTGATGGGCCTCGCTGGGGCCATCCCAGCTCCCACCGTACCGCTGGCAGCACGGCGACGGCAGGCAGCACCCGAGGGTGGCAAATCCCTGTTCTCAGCCAGGCCCAGACCTTAACAAGTGTAATCAGCTGATGCTTACAAGCGGGGACAAGACAGCCAGAGATTTACTCCCAGAACCACTGGAAGTGTCATGGAGGCTTAATACAAATTGCCATTTAACATGCAATATAACTCGAGCCCCGAATTGGGTGGGAGACTGGTTTTGTTTCGGTGGAGCTGACTTGTCTGAGAATGAAAATACCCGCCCCGCTGGAAAGCTGAAGGGGGTTACCAGGCCTCCCTGCCTGAACACAGGTCACATGTGGTCCCCGGGGGGCGTATTTCATCTGCCAGTCATTTAAACACAGCTGCTCCGAGCAGCACAGAGCAATGCTGGGGCAAGGCACGAGGAAGCACTGGTCCATCTTGGCGAGGGAGTAGGTAGCCGGGGAATCAAGGCATTACTGAAAATTCAGGTTGAAGGGAGCTCAGGAGGTCACATCTAGTCCAACCCCCTGCTGAGAGCAAGACCAGCCCCAACTACATCATCCCAGCCAAGGCTTTGTTGAGCTGGGCATTAAAAACGTCCAAGGATGGAGATGCCACCGCCTCGCTGGGTAACCCCCGTTCCTGTGCTTCACCACCCTCCTCGTGAGAAGGTTTCTCCTAATATCCAACCTCAGCTTCCCTCGCTGCAACTTGAGTCCATTGCTCCTTGTCCTGGCGTCTGCCCCCACTGAGAACAGCCCTGGGGGAGCTGGGCTGGGACAGCCCGCTGCTGGGATGTGCATATACAGACCCTTCGATCCAGCCCCGTACAGCCACGGCCTGAAGACGAGAGCTCTGGGGAAGCCCACGGGGCTTTGCACGGGCTTTGCTGGGGATTGCTGGGGCTCTGGTTCACCAGCTCGCACACGCCATGCGAGCAGATTGGCTGGAAAGGAAAATGCCACCCTCCTCCATCCATGAAACCTGCAGCCGTGGCTGCGCGCCGAGGGGGCGGGGAAGCAGCCTTGGAAAATCCGACAGATCATTGTGCTTCGTGGGTTTGCTCTGCAAATATCAGCAGCTCCAAGGCCATGTTTGCCCTGAGCAAAGCAAACACCCTGTTGCCATAAACACCTGCATGCAGGGGAGACGCTTGCTGCTGCAGGGCTGAGCCCGTCCCTGCCTGCGCGGGCACGACTGGTGCACTGGCCTGGGAGAGAGGAAGAGGGGACAAGCCCAGGTGCTGTAGTGACCCTGCAAGCAGCGCAGGCTTCCCCGGAGATCCTGGCCTGAGCTTCACGGGGGGATATGGGGGTTCAATGCCCCCCAAAATGCAAAGCAGAACATGCTTCAAAGGGAGGGGCAGGGCAGGCTGGCACAGCAGCTGCTTTCCCAGGAGAGCTTATCCCTGATCCCTGGCAGAAAGCCCCGTGCCAGCCACCAACTGCAGCTGTAGCCGTGCCGGCACCTCTGCTCCTAACACTGTCACTCTCTTCCTGTGCGTCTAAAACACAGGCCGCTCCACCAGCACAAACCCAGGAGCGCCGCTCAGGCCCGAGTAAAGACTGGTGTAGGCAACCCGGCTGCTCCTGGGCTCCTTCGTTGTCCCCAGCCTGTCTGTGTGCGATGCCCTCCAAGGACAGGGCACGGCCGCAGCAAATGCACTGAGCAACCCTGCCCTCTACCAGTGCCCAGGAGCAGCCATGGGGTCATGGGAAGCACGGATGCTGCATCACCCCGGCTCAGGAGGCATGTCCCTGCCTGGCATCACCCACCCTAAGGCCAAATCCTGGGGAGGAAAAGGTCCTTTGTGGCCCTGGAGCAGGCCCCCCCTGCAGAGCTCACCCCCGAGAGAGTGCAGCCCACGTGCTGCAAAGGGGCATCTGCACTGCTATGCTTGTGCGTGGCGCTAAGACTCGGGTGCCCACGTGAGCTGGGACTGGGATCAGCTCTGCAGCCCGGAGCAACGAGCGTGTGAGGAGCTGCAAGCCGAGCAAGGCACTCTCCTTGCATTTGCTACCCCATGGCAAAGCCACGCCGGCATCTCTCCTCCGTGTCGGCATCCCCCTTCCCCTTCAGTCATTCCTCCCCGACCCAAACAGTGACTGGTTGCCCCCAAAGCGTAACAGCTGAGCCAGACGGATGGCAACAAGCACCCTACCCAATTCACCCTGCTTCTCCCCCTGCCCCAGTTCAGCCTTTCCCTTCTCCGGGCACACTGAGGAGCCAGCTGGCAGCTGCTGGACCCTTTTGCATCTGAAGGACACCACTGTGGAACAAGACCCTGGGATGTGAGCATGCCTGAGCGCACCCAGACTTTAAATGTATCACCCCTGCAGCCTGGCTCTGTCTTGCCACTTCAAAGCTTTGCCGATCTGGAGGGTTTGGGCAGGAAAGGAATGAGCTCTGTTTACAGCAGGGCTTCACCTGGCCCACGTGAACTGGCAGGCTCAGCCAGGGCCAGGGGCACTCCTCCCCTGCCATTATCAGCGATGGGTCTCACTCTCGCTTCCAGCACGGGGTCAGACCTATACACGCACGGAGCTGCAGACCAGCCCTGAGCAACACTGCAAGTCAGCCAAGTGATGCAGAGGAGCAAAGCTGTGAAGGCACCAGCACCTCTTCCCCACCCTCCCGGGGCAGGAGCAGCCTCCGTGCTGGGCTCAGCCCTATGGGCTGGGTCCCTCCAGCTTGTAACAGCTCCCCTGCAAACCGGAGCAGAACAGCGGAGCAGGCGTGGGATGCCGTTGCCACCGCCAGCCTGCCATGACAAGCTGAGGAGCCCGGGCTACAATGCAGACCGCAGCAGCCATGTCCAGTGCAGGGTGGTGCTCACCTGGATGTTGTCGAAGGAGGCTTTGTTTGCGACATCGTACAAAAGCAGCAGGGCTGTGGGGAGAGAGAGAGAGAGAGTGAATGCAGGTAGCTATTGCCTAGTCCCCTGGGGTCCTCTGCTCTCGGGGGCACGCAAAGCTTTGCTCTTGCATGTCACAATGCACTGAAGCTGACAGTATTTCTCACCCCAGGGCAGAAAACTGGTACAACGCCTCGATAAAGGAAGCAGATCTTGCAGGGAAGCTGATCAGGACCCCAAAAGAACGAAGAATCCAGCAGCTCGTGCTGGGACAAGCGGCGCTCGAACCCTCCTCCGCCACGTTACTGCCAGAGCACTTACTCCAGCCTCCTTCACTGGCAGAGAAGGCCTGATACAGCCCCCGTGTTGGGGAGAGAAGTGTTTGAACTGCTGCCCGGGCCTGGCAGGCTCCAATGTTGTCCTGCACAATGCCCAGCCCCGTGGCTCTGTGCTCCCCAAGCACCGCGTCTCATTTTAAGCCATTTTAATACCGGTCTCATGGAGAAAAACAGCTCCCTGGGCCTGGTGCAGACTCCTGTGGCTCCCCTGCCTTACCTGGGGCAGGTTCAGGTGTACCTGCGTCAGGGTCGATGGTAGTTTTCCGAAGAGGTTAGATAATGGGTTTGTATAGGATGGTTTGGACAGGAATGATCCTGCCTCAGGAAGGGGGTTGGACTACATGGGACCTCTGCAGGTCCCTTCCAGCCCCGGTGCTATAGGAGTCTGTGATTTATATGACCCCTCAATGATCGAGCCCTTGCCCCCCACATGCCACCTCCCTGCAGCAGAGGCCAGAACAGAAATGCTAGGAGGTGGCCTGAGTCCCCATCCAACACCAGTGCTCCCCAGCATGGCACGAGGCACAGCCCTCGTCCCTGGAGCTCACATGGGGAGCAACAGCATCTGCCTGATGGGCTGGAAAAGCCACACATGAGCTGGTTGCCCACAGGTGAAGTGGGTGAAGGCTGCAGACAAGCAGCTTCCTCGTAAACCCTCCCTGGAGCACAGAGCCTCCCAGCTGGGAACAAGGAGAGCGTGTGCCCTGGAGACAGACTACTGGGAGGGAATGAGAAGGGGCCTGTGCATCCGTGCAGGTAGACACGGGCACTGAAGAGGGGTCTGTGCATCCGTGCAGGCAGACCCTGGCACTAAAGAGGGGTCTGTGCATCCGTGCAGGTAGACACGGGCACTGAAGAGGGGTCTGTACATCCGTGTAGGCAGACCCTGGCACTAAAGAGGGGTCTCTGCATCCATGCAGGCAGACCCTGGCACTAAAGAGGGGTCTGTGCATCCGTGCAGGTAGACACGGGCACTGAAGAGGGGTCTGTGCATCCGTGCAGGCAGACCCTGGCACTAAAGAGGGGTCTGTGCATCCGTGCAGGTAGACACGGGCACTGAAGAGGGGTCTGTGCATCCGTGCAGGCAGACCCTGGCACTAAAGAGGGGTCTGTGCATCCGTGCAGGTAGACACGGGCACTGAAGAGGGGTCTGTGCATCCGTGCAGGCAGACCCTGGCACTAAAGAGGGGTCTGTGCATCCGTGCAGGTAGACACGGGCACTGAAGAGGGGTCTGTGCATCCGTGCAGGCAGACCCTGGCACTGAAGAGGGGTCTGTGCATCTGTGCAGGCAGACCCGGGCACCGAAGAGGGGTCTGTGCATCCATGCAGGTAGACACAGGCACTGAAGAGGGGTCTGTGCATCCGTGCAGGGAGATGCCAGCACTGAAGAGGGGTCTGTGCAGCCATGCAGGCAGACCCTGGCTAGCACCCTGCAGCTTGTCCAGCAAAACCAGTCTCCCGGGATCTGCTCTTCCTCTGAGCATCTGCCTGACAATAAACAGGGCCAAGCATCACCGCTCTGAGTCTCCAGGAAGCTTACGGATGTGTGCGCACCCAGGCGCCAGTCAGAGAAGGCCTTCTCCTTATGCTAAGCGAGTCTTTAATTGCCGCATGCATCAGGCTTCACTGTGCGGCTGAAGAGATGCCTCTTACAGACACCCAAAACAAATATTTTGTTCCAGGGAGCAATTAGCAGGCAGGAGCTATTTATCTGCGGTGTCTGAGACGCTGCAGTCAGAGCTGGCTTAGCAAAGGCAATGCAATGTCTCCTAGTTCATGGGAACCAGATATCTCTGAGCGACCATTCGTGGGGACGATCTCTAACGAGAGGCAGCAGCTATGACTGTTCTCCGGAGAAGCAATATGCCCTTGTCACAGGAGCGCTCTGAAGCCAGGCACCATCAGTTGAACCCTGACTACATGCAGCAGAGATGGGCTGTAGGTCAGTGCAGTCGACTCCAGCTAATGCCCTGATCCCTGTAGGAAGGACTCAGGGCCGGAGGTTTTCACACTGCACTTGACCTGCTCAGCTAGACAGGATGAACTCTTCCCATCAGCTGAGCTGCTGCCTTCATGGCAAGGAAAAATGTGAGCCAAACCCCCCAGAGACAGCAAAGTCTGCAGCAGATGCAGTGACCCACACCAGCCCAGCTGCGAGGGGCGCATGGCTCAGAGGCCCCCAAACAGGACCTCCGATAGTCGTGTAACCCCGAATGGCCCCGCAGGAGCCCATGCAGCGGGAAGGGGAGGAACGCACACATGCAATGGGCGCCAGTGCTCCAGTGACTGCAGATGGGCCCCCGGGGAGCAGCCAAGCTCTCCAGCCACTTGGAAAGAGATTTGGAGACAGCTGCTGACAAGCTGACTTCTCCAGGGATGCCGGAGAGCTCTGGAGAGAAGAGCCAGATGGAGGCTCGTTTGTATGGGTGAAGAACGGCAGCGCAAGTCTCAGTTTCATAGTTTCATAGTTTCTAGGGTTGGAAGGGACCTGAGAAGATCATCTAGTCCAACCCCCTGCCATGGCAGGAAAGAGTACTGGGGTCAAATGACCCCGGCAAGGTGTTCCTCTAACCTCCTCTTAAAAACCCC